ACCCAACATCATAATAATGGGCACAAAAGAAGGAGAGTACCATAGTTGTAGAAAAATTTTCAATAGAGATTTCTCAAACCTAGAGAGTTACCCATCCAAGTGTAAGAGAGCCCTTCAGAGTACCAGATAGACAGAAAAGAAACTGCCCATGACATATAGTTAAAACCTTAAGAACACAAAATAAAGGGAGGATATTGAAAGTTCCAAGAATGAAGAATCAAGTAATTTTTGAGGATAGGCCCACCAGAATGACAGCTAATTATTTAATAGAAAAATTTAAAGTCAGAAGTGTTTGGAAAGTCACACTCCAAGTTCTAAAAGGCCCAAACCACCAACCTATATTATTATACCCAGCAAAACTATCTATTAAAAGTGAAAGAGATAAAAGGAATTTATGAGCCCTAAGACAAGTCTACAGAGGATACTAGGAGGAATGCTTCAGTTAGAGAAGGATAAGCATGCCCAAGGGAATCACAGGGAATAAATAAATAATACCCAAACAGTTAGTGAAATAAAGTCTCTCTCTCTCTCTCTCTCTCTCTCTGTCCCCCCCCCCTGTATGTGTGTGTATGTCTGTGTGTCTGTGTGTCTGTGTGTCTCTGTGTGTATACATACTTCAGGTACCCATGGAAGCCAGAAGCTTTGTATTTTCTGTCCTCTGCAAGAGCAGTACTCACACTTTACTGCTGAGCCATTTCTCCAGATCAATAATAACTCTAAATTTTAGGAGTTTCAATTTTCCAATAAAAAGACATAGACACTTAGTAGATCAGATTAGAAAACAGGCTCCTCTAAGAATACCCAAGGATGATAAAAGATATTCTAGGAAATAAAAACAAGCAGGCATATTTACTCTAATATCTGAACAAGTAGACTGCATACCAAAACTAGCCAGAGCAGGTACTTGGTTGAACGAGGGAATCATGAGAAAATGAAATGCAGAGACTAAACTTGGGGGTCATTCTGTGCCTTCCAACAACCCTGACTTGTCTTCTTATCCCCAACATATCATCTTCAGTAGCAACTGAATCTGCCACTGTCAAAATATGTTACTTGCATTTATTCCAAGTAATCTTGTTACTCTTAACTGTTTATGCAAATTGCATAAGGTTTCTTATGATCAAGCTTGAAAGATGATTTCCCAGTAAACAAGAGGCCCCACCCATCCTCCAGTTGTGTTTATTTCATGAGAGGACCACACAGAAGCCCTCGCTCTAGTCCTAGCAGGGCAGCCATGAGCCAAGGGGAGGTGGAGATGGCTTGTGCAGGTACAAATGACCTCAAAGACTGTGGCCTCCAACTGGAGACTTCTAAGCCCCAGCATCTGGTGTCAAGGTCATCTGAAGGGTTTTGCCCTTGGTTTACTGAGGGGGACTGGGCTGCTGCTCAACTCCCCTTCTGATGTGCAATGACACGATTCTATACATGAGAAATGCTAAAGTGGCACCAGAAAACCCCCAGAGGGGATAAACACAGCAAAGCAGATTCTGAAGACAGAAACTGAAGATGCTACCAAAAGATGGAGAAACTTCTCATACACATGGGTTGGTAGAAGTAATACTGTGAACATGATCTTTCTATCAAAAGCTTCTATAGATTCAATATAACCCTATCAAAATTCCAATGCAATTCTTCATAAAAAATTTCAAAATTCACATGGAAGTACAAAGGCTCTTTGGCAGCTAATGCAATTCTGAACAATAAAAACACTGCGGGAGACATTGCCATGCCTGAGTTCAAGTTATATTACACAGTAGTGTGAGTATAGAGCCACAGCACTAAGAACAGCATGGAGCTGGCACAAGAATAGACATGTTGATCAGTGGAATGGAATAGAGGACCCAGATATAAGCCAGATATGCACAGCCACTTGTCAGGATGTAGGAGGACATGTCAGGATATAGGAGGATATGTTTGTCAGGATATAGGACAACATGTCAGGATATAGGACAACATGTCAGGATATAGGACAACATGTCAGGATACAGGACAACATGTCAGGATACAGGACAACATGTCAGGATA